CATCGTGCTCTGTGCTTGAGAGCTCAGAGCCTGGAGCCTGCTTTGGATTCTGTGTCTCCCTCGCTCTCTGCTCCTCCCCCGCTCTCACTCTCTCATAAATAAACATTAAAAATTTTGCATAAATTATATAGCAAATAAGTCTCTTCACACAATATTCTGTTTGAGATTTACCATTAACTTACGTTAGTATTTTATTGAATGACTATATCAAAATTTATTTTCACATTTCCTAATTGATGGATATTTAGGCCTGTTTCTTGATTTTCACTGTTCTAAATAGTAATGTAATAAATATGCTTCATATTTGTCTTCTTGTGTATTACCTGAATGTGTGATTGCTGGGTTCTGGGGTACACACAGCCCTTCCTTTTCTAGACACCGCTCCATTACTTTTCAAAGTGTACATGCTCATTTACACTTTGATCAGCACTGCGTGAGAGTACCTCTTTATACACATCCTCACCAAAGTTGACATTAGTAAACGTCATAATTTTTGCCGATTTGATGTTTGTGAAATGGTATCTTGTTATTCTCGTGTAGTTTTAAATGCTTAATAGTTACTGAAAATCCATATGTACCGTGGTTAAGCAGAGATCTGATACCAATGACAAATATGTCCAATTCATAAAGAGGAGTTTCTCAAGAAGGATTCTTTTCATCCTGTGAAAAAGTGGATTACAATGTTATTTTTACTTATTGCTTGTTTAATGGCAATGGATTAAGAATACTAGAAAAAATGAATTTTTATGTAAATTTTGTAGTTTGGGGAGTGGTCATATTTCTAAGATGTCTCCGTGTATATTTACAACCTTCGAGGTCTTTTTGTTGCTATTTTTACAAATCATTGGGAACCACCAGCTGACAGTAAGAAGTAAAGCAACCAGTGATAAGCTAAAGCAATGTGTACAGCTACATGTGAACCGCTGCTTTTTTCTAAGTAGTTTGCTGTTTCTAGGGATCACAAAGCTGTTGGAAGACGACCTTTTGATAAGATGGCAACACTTCTTGCGTACTTGGGTCCTCCAGAGCACAAACCTGTGGCCGATACACATTGGTCCAGCCTTAACCTTACCAGTTCAAAGTTTGAGGAATTTATGACTAGGTAAAGTACCACCATGAAATAATAATTGCTCTCTTTTGGTTGAGATGCAAGGTTTACCAGGAGACCACTTGTTGGATATACTTGTATTTCTGATGGAAGATTATTAGGAAAGATGTGCTTGATGATCACGTTGCCCTATTTTGGGATCCCACTTGTTTCTTACCTTATCTCTTGTTGACATGTGCTTTGTTTTATAGTTGATTTTCCTCTAAAAATAATATCTTTTTGAATGGTACTGTGTCATATTGCTTTGGGGTGTTTTTGCATTTAATACTTATAATGGAGGGTAGATAATCATATTTTAGTTAAGGGAGATTCTGCAGCTCAGTGTGAGTAACTGATTTGCCCAAGTTCCCACACCTCAGTCATGGGTCCTTTGGTTTTAAGTTCTGAGCTCTTTCTTTCTGCCACACTGTAGCATTTTTCAGAACCCTCCCCAAATTTGATGCTATTAACCTCTTTTAGATTGAGACTCCCCAAATTCAGTAAATTTCAGTATTGCTGTAAAATTTCTGTGGACATTTGTTTCAAATCTCATTTAGATGGATTTAGTTTGTGAGGTAAAAGAGCCTCCTTGTTAGACATTCACTTTTATGACGTTCCAGCGAAGATGGTGTGCTGAGTCCTTTAGTCTTTACGGTACCTTTCATAGTACTTTACACTTAGTCACTTAGTAAGTGCTTCAGTGACTGTGGGTGTTTTGTTCATAATATGTGCCAGAGACAGAAGTAAAAAAGCAGAAATTAAAATGCAGAAATTAACTCACATTAGAGATTGGCATATACTGTGCTTTGCAATGTAAGTGCTGGCTATTGATCATATTACAGATAGGCCATAGTTTTGTACACATGACTCCAGTTCTTTGATACCATTAAAAGAATGTGTGAACACAAAACAGTCTCCTTTCCAGCTTATTTTTTATCTTTAGCTCTACTATATTCTTTTCATTGTAACAAATGTTTATTCCTAAGTGATTAAAGAAATACTTTCCACACAAAGTTTTCATATTATGTAATTGAAAATTACACAGTACAAAAACATACAGCTTTTTTATTCACCACTTACTGAGAACATCCTAGCCATTTTTCCACTTTTCTAAGAAAACCTATTTATTGCTCCTTCTCTGAGACCCTAGCTTCCCTTATAAAAGACAATCTTCCACGCTTTTGGAGACTAACCGATCTAACAGTGTCTGGTATATATAGTGTTCAATAAATGTTAAGTGTTATTTTTGTTCTCCTCTCAGCTCCCGCTGATGCTCTTTGAGACCCGTTTTTTTTTTTTAAAAAAAAAAAAAAAAAAAAAAATGAAGAAAGCTTCATTTTCTCAACTATAAAAATAAAAATTGTTAAGTTATTCAAAAGTCAGAAATCTAAAGAAAGTAAAAAATTCTCAGTTACTCTTCTTAGAGATATTCACCTTTTAGAGATAATTCAGTTAACATTTGACACACAGCCTCATAATCATTTGTACGTATGTGTACCTGTTACCCTTATCAAACAATATCTAGGTTGTTTCCATTAATACTAAACAAATGCTGAGCTGGTACTGGCAATATAATGAACTGAGATGATAGAACCTCTCTCCCCCACCCCTTCCAGGACATAAGAGATACATGACGTACAGAAGTACTAGGTCGAAGTATTTTATACTATATTACCTAGTATTATACTATACTACTACACTATACTACTGTAATACCTAGTATTGTATACTAGGTATTTGCTTTTTTATTTATTTTTTTTTAATTTTTTTTTCAACGTTTATTTATTTTTGGGACAGAGAGAGACAGAGCATGAACGGGGGAGGGGCACAGAGAGAGGGAGACACAGAATCGGAAACAGGCTCCAGGCTCTGAGCCATCAGCCCAGAGCCCAACGCGGGGCTCGAACTCACAGACTGCGAGATCGTGACCTGGCTGAAGTCGGACGCTTAACCGACTGCGCCACCCAGGCGCCCCGGTATTTGCTTTTTTAATGTTTGAGAGAGAGCACCAGCGTGAGTGGGGGAGGGGCAGAGAGAGAGCAAAAGCGAGAATCCCAAGCAGGCTCCATGCTCAGCACGGAGCCCGCCTGAAGGCTCAATCTCACAACCCTGAGGGGTGCTTGGGTACCTCAGTCAAGTGTCTGACTTCGACTCAGGTCATGATCTTGCTGTCTGTGAGTTCAAGCCCCAGGTCTGGCTCTGTTGCTGACAGTTTGGAGTCTGGAGCCTGCTTCAGGTTCTGTGTCTCCCTCTCTCTCTGCCCCTTTCCCTCCCCGCCCCCACTCAACAAATAAACATTAAAAAAAATTTTTTTTAACCTCATGACCCTGAGATCGTGACCTGAGCTGATACCAGGAGTCAGACACTTAACCGACTGAGCCATCCAGGTACCTCCAAAGGAAATATATTTTTAAAATATTTTATTCTTAAAACATATAGCTGGAAGATAATTTCTGAGCACATTGCCAACATATGGTCAGTACAGATTGATAAAGAAGTGGAAAATATGAAAAAAGTTAAGAGATGCAGATGACAGAAGGAGAAGGTCCAAAATGAGTAATAGATGTTTCAGAAATGGAGCTTAGAGAGAACGGAGAAGAGGTAATATTTGAAGAGACAACAGATGACAACGTCCCAGGGTTGGTGAATGACCTGAAGCTTCAAATAATTACACACTGAATGTTTAACAGAATACATAAAAATCAAATCAGGCTTTTTCCGAAACATTTTAAAATACATATGGGGATCTGACATTCGACAAAAAATTCACCTAGCAATGGGCACGTGGGTTGCTTCCATATCTTGGCTATTATAAATAATGCTGCAATAAATATAGAGTACATGTATCTTTTCAGATTAATGTTTTCATATTCTTTGGGTGAATACCCAGTGGAGTTATTGGATCCTATGGTAATTCTATCTTTAATTTTTTGAGGAACTTTCACACTGTTTTCCACAGAGGCTGCGCCAACCTTCATTCCCACCAACAGTACATGAGGGTTCCTTTTTCTCCAGCATCCTCGCCAACACCTATTGTTTCCTGTGTTTTTGATTTTAGCCATAGAATGGACTTTTAATAAATGGTGTTGCTACAACTGAGTGAGTGACTGGAAAAAGGTGCTCCCATCATTCATGAGGATAAACTCCCATGAAGAAGAAAACATATGCAAAGGAAGGCCTTTTTAATCATTCAGAATTATAAACCCAAAAAGAAAAGGTTGATAAACTGAACTCTTGAAAGACAAATAAATAAAAACTCAACAGCTTCTAGAAAAAGAAAATACCATGATTAAAAACAATCCTACGGTAGGGACGCCTGGGTGGCTCAGTCAGTTGGGTGTCTGACTTCGGCTCAGGTCATGATCTCATGGCTCATGAGTTCGAGCCCCATGTCGGGCTCTGTGCTGACAGCTCAGAGCCTGGAGCCCTCTTCAGATTCTGTGTCTCCCTCTCTCTCTGCCCTTCCCCCACTTGCACACTGTCTCTCTCTGCCTCTCTCTCTCAAAAATAAATAAACTATTAAAGGATTTTTTTAATTTAAAAACAATCCTATGGTTCATATTACTGCCCAGGGTAGTGCTAAGGACGACTTGTTATGTTTCAAAGAGGAACATCTTGAAATTTTGGGTACTTGTTGTCAGATTGCCCTTCAGGAAGTGTGTTGCTTTTAAATGTTTTGTCATTTAGTATATTTCATCACTGGTCTAATCATGGGTTTTTATAAATACTCAATGGACAATATAAAGCCTATGAGTTACCCTGTTTTTTGTTTGTTTGTTTGTTTTTCCTTTCAGGCATCAAGTACATGAAAAAGAAGAGTTCAAGGCTTTGAAAACATTAAGTATTTTCTACCAAGCTGGGACTTCCAAAGCTGGGAATCCTATATTTTATTATGTTGCACGGAGGTAAGAAATACTGTTTCAGTTTCTCTTATCAGAGTGTTTAAAATGGAGAGAGACAGCAAGTTTGATTTTTCCCGTTTGACTTCACTGGAATTGAAGACAAGTTTACCTGGAAGAATATAAATATAGCAGGGTAAATAACCAGCCTGTCCCAAAATGATACGTGGTATATTAGAAATTGCTTTTCAGGAGACCTGTTTCCTACTGGCTTCTCTTTCTTACGTCAGTTTTTTTTATACTTCTTACAATGGATTAATTACCAAGAATAACAAAAAAATAGCAAAGAATCTTTTCTTTTTAGGTGTATTCTGATTAATATCTACAACATGACAAATAAAACTTTAAGAATCTGTTTCTAAGAACTTTCAATAATATGCTGTGTATGTCAACATCAGGGTGATTTAACAAATAATTTAGAGAAGGTGTGGAAATTTCTATAAAGATGGCACAGGTGCCAGCTTGGAAAATTGATTGCATTTTTTTTCATGCTGTCTTCAGTCCAGGCTAGTGCCTAGAAAACCTTTCTGAAAATGCTGTGAGCTCCTTCTTCACAGTAGGTATGAAGCTTTGCGTTGCTTTCCCTGCTACTGTCTTCTCTTTCTTGCCTCATTCTTTCTACCTTTTGAGAACTTACCTGTGATACAAGTTGGCGAGTTTTACTTCTTGCTGTTCATGTCATAAACTCGTGGTATTTGAACCGCAGAGACGGTGTGGTCTAACAGAGAGACCATTGGTTTTGGAATTTCAAGGACTATGTGTAATCTTAGTTTTACTATTCAGTGGCTGTAGAAATTAATCTTCCTGAGTTTCCTGAATTTAACATACGTTGAAGAGTTCTGTCAGGAGACTGAATGGCCATGGATTGCGAGAGCTTGTCGGTATATAGGAAATGGCGGTTGAGAAATGGCGGGAGGGGACTGAGCAAAGGGATGCAGAAGGTGGGAAACTAATTTAGTCAAATAATTCAGATAGCATTAAGACCAGGAAGCCCCAAGAACTGGGTCTTATGGAATCAAGAGAGTATAGAAACTTGCATTTACCCTGTGCTCTCCTCTTGAACAACTCTGAGTAAGGTCTCTTCGTTTCCCTTGAAAGTCTTCTCTCCAACTTTTCTATCAGTTCCTGTTTCTAAATCACCTAAGGTAATTTTCACTTTCTTTTGCAATTGGGATGAAGCATATTTGTGTTTCAACCACAACTTTTAATGCAGTCGGTATATTTTGACCCTCCCTATTTTGCTGAAGTAATAAAAAGTGAAACACTGGTGAGAGAGGCAAACAGGTGCGTGTCCTCCTCCCCCTTTAACTTCTCGTTAGTTTACAAGGAGCAAAGATTTCTGGGAAACCTCAGTGCAGACACCCTCTGTTGGATTAAAGCAGTGGGATTTCCGGGAAACCTATGTAACATGGTGATTTGAGAGTGTTAAGGATTCTCAACTTTGTTGCTTAACTAGCCACATAATCTTAGACAAGTTACTTTTTTCTGAATCCGTTTCTTCATATGTTAAAAAAAAGGTGAGGGGTAGAACTTATAAAAACTGTCGACCTGTCCCATAAAATATTTTGTGACTTAAAAGTTCTGTACAGAGTATGTTTGAGGTTTTCTTTTCTTTTCTTTTTTCTTTTTGTTTTTTTGGTAGCACTCTTCCAGTTTCAGATTTTGGGTACTTTCAGCTTTTTATTTAGACCTCCTAGAGCTCCTCTTGGCCTTCATTTTCACCTGGTGTGAAGTCTTAGCTCAAAGACAGTTGAGCACATAGTAGCTCAGAGCAGAGAGAAGCCTGTTTCCTCCACTGTACAAGTCCAGAAGATTGTAAAGGCCTTATCTTTACATGGCCAGCTTTGTCAAAGAGCGCTTGGGTTGGACTTCTCTTTTGATATTCTTGTGTTTCTATGGCTTGGACTACAATGTATTCATTAACGTCTTTTGACCTGTGGATTCCATTCACCTTACAAATAGTCCAGGGACATTTCAGACTTGAAGTATGCAAAACTTAATTCTGTATATTCAGTTCCACTTTTTCACACTGTATTTTTCAATAACATCATTCTTCGTTCCCATGCTAGAAACCCTGATCTTTTTAAATTCTTACCTCTTTCTTTTAGCCTCCTCCTTATCAGTCACCTAGTCTTGATTTTAACAGTGAGATCCTGACAAATCAATTAAGTTGTTTTAGTGTGACCTTTGTTATTGCAAAGAAGCCCTTCTTATTTTCTCAGGAAAAACATGAATTGCAGCAGAGCCTGCCCAGATGTAGACAGAACTAGGTGGCTATCAGTTCTGGAACCAGTTTACACTCTGACTCCCTCTTGGCTTCCTAATCAACTCTGCTTCATGATTTTTCTCTTTCTGTATCCCTTCAGTTTTAGCCCCAGCCACTAATTCTTTCATTACCTCAGTACTTCATGCTTCAAATTCCAAAAAGAGAATGTGGTTCAGCTGAATAGTATCTGTTTGGCAAAACTTTTCATGCTAAGTGCTTGCTCCTAGCTCTAGTCATGTGATCAAAATAACCACCTACTGCTATTTTTTTTTAGCAGGGGCTGTCCTTTGGTATGTGTTCTATTTTTTTTTTTTAATTGGATCTTAATGGTTTATTTCTTTTAGGTGCCTTGAAAATGCCTTTTGGAACCATTTTTTGCCCCACTGCCATTACTGACACTTGCTTATTAGCTCTTACCTGTGCTAATGCAGCATTATCCTCCAACTTCCTAATTCGCGGGGAACTTCTTCCGGGTCATCTCCACATTGCTTCTGGAGGCAGTTGCCAGTACACATCTCATCTCGTCGTTCTTGTGGTGTTAAATAGCACCATTGATTCCTCATATAAAGGAATCCACAGGTTCTGTTGTCAGGCATGCAAGGTGCTCCATAATTATTACCTAATTGAGTTCCTAATCTTTCCCTGCTAGTCCCTCCCATAGATTTATGCTCCTACCCTGTAGTAAAGTACCATAAATACAAGAACAATTGTTGCAGCCTTGTTTATAGTAGCAAAAAAAAAAAAAAGAAAGAAAAGAAAGAAAACACCGTAACTATGTTCCAAAGGGGAATTGTTGAATATATGATGCTGCCTCTATATTATGGAATAATATACAATGTGTTGTTTTTTCTACTTGTTACAAGCAACGGAAATGAAATTCAAACTTGTGCAAACTAAAAAGGGTATCATTTGGCACATGCACCTGAGGAGATCAAGGGATGGCCTGGCTTCTTGCATGACCTCGTGCAGAGCTTTGAACAGGGTCATCTGGAGAACGTTGTCTTCTCTCTCTCGACTCCACTTCCTTTGGGTCGATGTCATTCCCAGGAAGCTCTTCCCCATGGTCAGCAGTGGATTGCGTTCTCAGCTTAACAACTGAGGGAAAATGACCTCTTTGCCAGTAGGTACAGCAAGGGTCCTGGTTTTACTGGCCTGGCTTGAGTCACGTGCCAATTCTTGAGGCAATCGCTGTGGCAGGGGGATGGGATATCTTGGTTGTCTGGGCCTGAATCATGTGCCCATCCCTGGAGCACAGTGGTGAAACTGTAGCCCTACTTGAATTACATGAGTTGAAAGGGAAAACTGGACTGCAGATACCAGGATGAGGAAAAATGGATTCTCATCAGGCAAGAGTAACAGAAGTGTTCCAGTGCAGCTTTAAAAAGACCCAGAAGGAGGACTGTGGCACTTGTCATACAGGGTGCCGAGGAATATGTGTGCACAAGCATATACAGCTGGAGAAATGTGTGCAAATATGCACATTAAACTATTCACGTTGCTTATGACGGGAGTATGACTGGAGGAGGTCGAAGACCAGTTAGAATATTTATTATGTATCTCTCTGGGTTGTTACCAGGAGCATGGGTTATTTGGGGAGAATACTTAAAAATGTGAAACCTAAAAGTTTTACATGAATGTTAGAAACATTATACCTGGCAGTTGCTTTTTGGGTGGCACTAGTGCTAACATTTACTGAGTGCTTTCTCTGCATTAGGCGAATTGTGCCTGTGGTAGAATTTTTCATGGAGCCCCGACACTAACCTTCTGAGGACTTGTTAAGAGCAGTGAAGGACATGTGTATAAATAAACTTGTCAAGAGAAGTGGCAAGTCACCCCCAAACCTAGCTGTCCGAATGACCTGGAGAATTAAAACAGGAAACATGTCCCGAGACCCTGTCCTGGGCTACCAGATCAGAATCCCTTGGGGAGAGCCTAATCTATGTATTCAGCAGGCACCCGGAGTGATTCATCTGTAATCCGTTTATGACTGAAGTTTGGGAATCCCACCGGGTCGTGTATTTCACTCATGGCAGCACAACTGCTCAGAATCAGCTGGTTTCAAACCTTAACAACTACACTATTAATGACATGGTTGTTATCAGTGTTAAAATTATATACTAGGTTTTGGGGTTAAATCAACCCTTGTAGACCAGCATGAAACTTCCGAATAGTTTTGAGATATATTTCTATAGGGAAGAGTTCTGAATTCTAGGCATCTGATTTACAAATGACCTTTTCAACGTTTATTTATTTTTGGGACAGAGAGAGACAGAGCATGAACGGGGGAGGGGCAGAGAGAGAGGGAGACACAGAATCGGAAACAGGCTCCAGGCTCTGAGCCGTCAGCCCAGAGCCCGACGCAGGGCTCGAACTCCCGGACCGCGAGATCGTGACCTGGCTGAAGTCGGACGCTTAACCGACTGCGCCACCCAGGCGCCCCACAAATGACCTTTTCAAATACCAGGGAAATGTTTACTCAGAGCAAGATAGTCTTGTCATTGGACCAGCTGCATTATGCATTACAGTAGTTAGCAGAGTCGGGGCGCCTGGCTGGCTCAGTCGGAAGAGCATGCAACTCTTGATCCTCAGGGTCATGAGTTTGAGCCCTACCTCTGGGTGTAGAGATCCTTCAAATAAATTAAAAAAAAAAAAAAAAAAAACATTTTTTTTTTCAAAAAACAGAATTGGCACATTTTTTACCGTAACAACATATTACTGTTCCACATTTCATGAAATAGGTGACACAGGTGTTTTGTGTAGTATCTTCTCGTAAGATTAGCACATGTCTGTTTAATAAAAGCTGATACAAAAATAGCACACACCACTCCTCATTCCCCGTCCTCTGTCCCCTTCTCTCATACACAGAGGTGTACTTTGGTTAGACATCACCAACACAATTTCTTCTCTTACACTTTTAATGTAAGAATCTGAGTTTCAACTCAATTCTGCAGACATTTAAAAGGCAAACGTGGCATTTTGCTTGTTTTAGCATTTTTAAGGAAGAAAACCATTATATTAAGGTAATAAACTTACACAATTAAAATCTACAACCTAATTAAGCCAGGATAATGATAACTTCCTAACAAGTAAGTTGAAATAAATTTGATTTTCCTAGTGTGCTTGTTGTAATTCGCAGATAGTAATGAACTGAGATAGGAATGCAGAAGTTCAAGTCCACTTCAGCCCGAGTGCACACAAAACAGTGAGCATATTATATAGAAAAGAAAGTGAGTGCTGTCCATTGGATTCCGTTTCGTGCCACCACTTCCCATAGTCATCATGTTCATGGTTGTGGCTATCTTTGGGGTCACTGCTGTTTTCAGAGGTGTCTTGGCATTTGAAATCATCTTTGTATTTGAGATTCTTTGGAGATTTGAAGTTGTCTTGAGAGTCGAGATTGTGTTGGAATTCGAGATTGTCTTGGAATTCGAGATTGTGTTGGAATTCAAGGTTACGTTGGAATTCGAGTTTGTGTTGGAATTCGAGGTTGTGTTGGAATTTGAGGTTGTGTTGGAATTCGAGGTTGTCTTGGAATTCGAGGTTGTCTTGGAATTTGAGGTTGTCTTGGAATTTGGGATTGTCAGAGAATTCAGACTCATCGCGGGACTCGAGACTGTCATAGACCTTGAGGTCATTAATGTTGTAGTGCTCCCCAAAGTGTTAGTGACAAACAGGAGGAACAGGCTGATGAGTGACAGCTTGAACACCATTTTCCTGTGTCAAAATAATTATAGAAATTTACTGACACTCGGAACAGAAATCTAAGAATTAGCTTTTTTTAAAGAGGAACACCTGGGGGCACCCCGGTGGCTCAGTCGGTTGGGCATCCAACTTTGGCTCAGGTCACGATCTCACGATTCATGAGTCCGAGTCCTGCGTCAGGCTCTGTGCTGACAGCTTGGAGCTCAGAGCCTGGAGCCTGCTTTGGATTCTGTGACTCCCTCTCTTTCTGCCCCTCCCCCACTTGCTCTGTGTCTCTGTAGCTCAAAAAATAAATGAATGTTAAAAAATTAAAAAAAAAAAAAAAAAGAGGAAAACCTGAAGGAAATCTCATTCCAGCACTGGGGAAATGCTGGTCTTGGGCTTCACAATTTTTTTTTTTGAAGTTTATTAATTTATTTTTGAGAGAGAGAGAGAGAGAGAGAGGGAAAGAGAGAGAATCTCAAGCAGGCAATACACTGTCAGTGCAGAGTCTAATGTGGGGCTCGTACCCACGAACTGTATCATGATCTGAAGTCTGGCGCTTAACTGACTGGCACCCCAACAATTTCATAGTTTTTAAGATAGGGAAAAAGAATGATCAATACCAACTCCTTACAAATGGACTTACAAATGGACTCAGACAAAGGGCATAACTTACCTGAGAATGCATATCTAAAAATGTGTAGAACTAGAACTTGAGTCTGACTCTTAGTCCAGTCTTCTACAGACATACACCAAAAGTTTAATAATAAACCATTTTTAAAGTAAGGCTTATTTACTTTTATCTTACATTCAAACCTAATGGCTTGCCACATGTAAGATAATGCAACTACCCCATGTTGGTCATGGTTAAATACTCTTTTAACTTGAAGTGCAGACTTTAATTTTACGAATCTAATACATCCTAAAAGTTACATTTGCCTCTAATATGTAATTCAGAAAATTTGAAGTTAATATTACCTTTTGATGTTTTTTTCTTCGAAGATTAAGAATTCAGGCTTTCTCCAGTGTCCCTTGGGGAATCTAACTTCTTACCGTATGCTGTTTAAATACAATCAGTGAGGAGGTCACATGTTCTGAACTTGACCTGGGATTTGCTCTTTGGAAATGTCCTATTGAGTATTTTCCAAACAGCTAGTACAAACAGCTGGACCTTGGCAGAGATCAAGGAATTCAAATAAAGTCTTTCTAAAATTCTACTTGTTTATTTAAGGAAGCTGGTGAACATATCTTTGTTATTCCTCTTATCTATGTGTTCATTAGTTTCTTCACTAGACTAACTAGAGGACTCTATTATTTTGCCTGCTGTGATTATCATGACTTTAAATCAAGTAAGTATATTAAGAGACAGATGTCTTAATTTTTCTTAAAACATCTTGCTTATATGTTTATAGGTTGATTCTGACCATGTTATTTTGAAGTTTTAAAAATGATTCAGGAATATAGCATTTCAGGCATTTAATAATACATAATCCATTAGAAAAGAAGTTAAACCTTATTAATATAAAACAAGCTTAGTAAGAAAAGAAAGAAAAGGATTGCATATGGAAGTGATACTGTCATACCGTGTTAACAAAGTTTTTGTTTTTGTTTTTTTTAATTTTTCTTTTTAAGTGGGCTCCATATCCAGTGGGGGGCTTCAGCTCACGACCCTGAGATCAAGAGTCACATGCTTTACTGATTGAGCCAGCTAGGCACCCCAACAAAGTTTTTTTTCTTTAATACATTAAACCCCCCACGTTGAAGCACATTAAGTATATTCTTTAAAGGAATTTTGTCTTTTGATTATTTCTTTTCCTTGATAATTAGCATACAGGGAAGTTCAGTTGTATCGTGCTAACGTTTTCGTCACGTTGGCCGGCACTCTTTAAAATTGTGTTGACATACAAGGAAATTGCTACAAAAATGGCAGAAGTACAAGTCGGTACATGTTCCTCACATGTTTTACTTTGCTATAAAGATTTGTTTCTCCTGAATGAATAGAACCAGTGCTTGCTAAACCTTATTTATGTGGCACATGTAATAAAGAACCTCGCTAAACTGGAGATTAGCGTGATTAGACCTAAGAAGTCAACATAAAAAGCCTCTTAGCAACCAGAGTAAAAATTTATAAATCAGAGTCCTCAGATAACACCGATAACTCCTTAGTGATGCTCCAAACACTTCATCTCAACTTATTTAAAATTTAAAATTCAAAATTTTCCCTTTCCTATGTTTGAACCCAGATAGGTTCTTCTCATAGTCGGATTCTCAGTAAGTTGCATCATCACCTAGCCAAATGGCTTTCCTACCGTGGACTTTTCATGGTCCTCTTTGACTTATTAATCTTAAACTGTCTAGGCATCTTGATGAAAATTAGGTAAAATTTAAAACTCTGAACTGTCCACTCAGGTGCTCTTAATCAGAAGCCATTTGCCATTCATTATTCAGGTCTTTAAATACCTCCTGCCTCTTTTCGTTTGTTCAGTCTCCCCCCATCTGCCCAACAGACTTCTTCTCGTTCACAGTTCTGTTCTTCCTTCCAGGTCTAACTCGGATGGCAGTGTCTTTTCTCTGAGCCTTCCCTAATTCTATACTTGAGAATCAGTCATTTTAAGACTTCATACTTTTAGAGCATGGATCAGAGTCTGCTTGTTACTATAGATGTATCCTAAATCTCTCTTCCACCATATCCTGGCGTTCTCCTGGTCAGGATTACCTCTTCTCTATATTCCCTCTGACTGCTAGCCCAGTGAGTGCTGGGACAGAACAGGATACAGTCAACACTGGAATTGATTTGTTTCTTTATGTCTGTGGGCTGATATCATTAATGATGTTTAGAATGATAGGAGCCATTTGGTCATTTGCAGTTTTCCTAAGTGTAATTTTGCCAGTCATGGGTCTGAGTTGAAGTCCCATCCCTATTTTCTTACTGCCGTTTGAGAGGTTTCTTCATTTGTATAATGATCACACTGCACGTTCGTAATCCCTTAGCTGTAATTCTGAAATGCAAAATCCTCTGGAAACCTGAAGGATTTTGTCAAAAAAAATTTGGTACCAAAACTTATTTGGTGGAAACGCCTAATCTGCCTTGGCGTGAGGCTTTTCATCATTGTTATTAGTACTATCTGTATTTGTCCCACTTAGTGGGTGTTAATGTTTCACTGAAGAAATCTCAGGTTGACTTGGGGTATGGTCTCAAATTCTACTGAAGTGTTATATAATACACCATAAGGCTAGTGCTTCTCAATGTGTTTCTCCTGTTCCTTCCGGGCACATCCACCACACTGCTCCATGAGTCTTTATAGTTAGGTGGTGCCACGCGTCTGTGTCTCAGTCAGGACAACGTAGGCTCCACTGATGTATGTCCCTTCCAGGCCTTCTCACCACTCGTCCATCTGGTGTCTTCTCTCAACACCTAGTAGCAACCAACGGTTCAGGAGGGGGTTCTACACATGGTGAACTACGGGATGACCTGATACCAGTGAGAAGTAAACTTTTGTTGTCTTAGCCAGGGTTGTGTTGGCATTGTGGCAGAAGTTAGTTCATGCTGACAAATACAGCTGGGTGCTGGGTAACTTGCCGTGGCCTCTCCAGATCCACTCCCTGTACGCCCCGGTCGTCCCCTGAGAGGCCGAGCTGTGTGTGGAGGATAGCATTGGACGTCTTTGCTCACCTCCTTCTCTTTGACCTGTGGGGAAGAGTGTATTCTTTCACCTCGCTTCCTGCAAGGTCACGGTGGGCTGACTGCATCCCTCTGTGAAGATCATGGTTTTTGTCAGACGGCCCTCTCTGTGTCTGGTTTCTGGCAACTGCTCCCTGCCTGACTCCTTCAGGTCTACTGTCCGACTGTCTAACAGTTTCCCTTATCTCTCTCTTAGGAAACCCTTCCCTCTCCTCTGTACACGTTCTCTCATATCCCAGTTTGAGTGTGCCACCTGTTTCCTGCTGGAACCTAAACTACTACAAACAGTATATGCACTGTGTTGTCTTCCTCAAAATCTGAACGACTCTAAATTCTGAACCGTATCTTGTCCCAAGGTTTCAGATGAGGGATTGTGGATCTGTGCCACATTCATAAGTTTATTGTGAATATTGTGATAGTATTTGCGTGGCATTCAGAACTGTGCCCAGCAAGTAGTAAGCATTGGGTAGATAGTAGCCAGAATTGATGTAAGAATAGCAACCGTGTTCTTAATTTTTATCTGGGAAATCCAGATTTCTCATATTTAGTGCTGGAGCTTTGGAACTAGCAAGGAATTATAAGAGCAGTATCTTCCCTTATATATTACCTTGAATTGACCTTTTTTTTTTTTTTATGTTTCTGGAACTTTCTATCTTCACCTATTGATTCTTTCAGAACTCTTAAATGGAGAAAAGGGATCTTATTTATAAAATCATCTCAATGCTCATAAATTTTATATAGCAACTTCTGGAGAATTTCAAGTTGCAATTTTAATATGTTACTCTAGAAATAATTAGGTCCTGTTTTTTCTTCCGTAACTTTTCTCTTCCATCTTTGGGTTTTTGTCTCATGAATAGGACACTTGAATGTTTTCTTGGGTGGCAGTTACACAAACACTCTGTTAGCAATGGAAGCACTCTTTGCTGTTTAGAACACCCTCTCTAAGTACTCTGCCATTATGTTTATTACACCTGTACATCATGTCCCTTCAACTTTTAAAGTTTGGAAAGTTGGTGCCTGGATGGCTCAGTCGGTTAAGCGTCCGACTTCGGCTCAGGTCATGATCTCCCGGTTCATGGGTTCAAGCCCCATGTTGAGCTCCGTGCTCTGTTACCTCCGAGTCTGGAGCCTGCTTCAAATTCTGCGTCTCCGCCTCTCTGCCTCTCTCCCCCTCATGCTCTGTCTCTCTGTCTCAAAAATAAATAAAACATTAAAAAATAATAATAAAATTTTGAAAGTAATATGTGTTTGCTTCTGAAAGCAATTAGGGTTTTCAGGATTAACATTTTTATCATGCTACTAGTGGGCTTTTACCTGTGTTTAAAAGTAGAACATCTAGGGGCGCCTGGGTGGCTCAGTCGGTTAAGCCTCCGACTTCGGCTCAGGTCACGATCTCGCGGTCCGTGAGTTCGAGCCCCGCGTCGGGCTCTGTGCTGACCCGCTCAGAGCCTGGAGCCTGTTTCGGATTCTGTGTCTCCCTCTCTCTCTGACCCTCCCCCGTTCATGCTCAGTCTCTCTCTGTCTCAAAAATAAATAAACATTAAAAAAATTTTTTTTTAATTTTTTTTTTTCAACATTTATTTATTTTTGGGACAGAGAGAGACAGAGCATGAACGGGGGAGGGGCAGAGAGAGAGGGAGACACAGAATCGGAAACAGGCTCCAGGCTCTGAGCCATCAGCCCAGAGCCCGACGCGGGGCTCGAACTCACGGACCGCGAGATCGTGACCTGGCTGAAGCCGGACGCTTAACCGACTGCGCCACCCAGGCGCCCCCAAAAAATTTTTTTTTTAAGTAGAACATCTAAAACATATCAGAAGTGTGTAGTACAAGTGGCTTTCATTGTGGACAATTACTCGTGAAGACACTATTTGTAAGCTTCCTGAGAAAGTGGATATGCAAATATGCAGAAACAGACTATTGTTATGTTAGACTTAAATGTGATACATTTTAGAATTGTACTTCACTTTTCTACAGTAAAATACCAGCCGTTTCATTTTAGAAATCTAATATAGGAAAAGTAACACTTTTCCCCTTGTTGCAAAATACATGTTCCAAGAGCAAATGACTGTTTGGGAGCAAGTTTTTTTTTCCTACTTTTGTAATACTGTAAGTCTGTTACCTCATTTTGGCTTGTTGTCATTTAATCTTATTTTTCGTTAATGGTGAAAACAAAGTGATTTAATTTCTGAGGGATGTCTAGAATAGACATCCTCCTTTCTGTTTCCTTCTCTCGGGTAATAGTGTCTCCAACTGCCTTGAGCTTTAAATAGAAGCCTTAGCATCAGTCTTCACTTCTACCTGTTCTTAACCACAGGCATCTGATTAGTCAGTGAGTGTTTCTGATTCTGCTTCACAAAGTGTTTTATGCTTTATCTTCACACTCCATTTACAGTTCAATCGGTTGTCAAAGCTGGGGTTAGTGAACAAACATTTGTGGTAAAGGACCAAGTAAGTAGGCTTTACAGGCCAAATAGTTTTTCATTTTCTTTCTTGCTTGCTTTTTCTTTTTCTTTCTTTCTTTCTTTCTTTCTTTCTTTCTTTCTTTCTTTCTTT